AAGAGCCTTCTCCTACCCACCTTGGAGTAAGGGCTATCCCAAGAGCCTCCTCCTCACCACCTTGGAAGAAGTCAATCCTCACCTTTGTCAATCCCTACACATTTGAGTTAATAAAATACTCGGTAACCTTTGTCATTCAAAGTGGACGTAGATCACGTTGACCAAATCACTATAACTTTGTATTCTTTCTCCCTCTACTTATTTACTATATTTTGGTACTGCTTACTTGACAGGTGATGTGCAAACCAATTTGTACATCATCAGTTATATTTCACTATAGGTTTGGCACTAGTGTCGAGTGAGACAAGTTCGTGTTAAAAAATATTTTATTCATATCCGATTTATCAATTCGTGTCTAACAAATCGTGTCATATTGAGTTCATGTCGTATATGAATCACGTAAAATTAGTGTATAAATGAATTGTGTCATATATTTATTTTGATTTATTTTACTCATACACAATTTATTTATAAATCGTGTCAGTTAAAATCTACTCATTTACTAAATGAATTGTTTAAAAAAAAAACTTAAATCACCTAACTTATTATGTTGGTGTCGTATTATTAAATCATTTGGCACCCCAACTTCCCTACCTGCTACCCAACTGCCAAGTTTAAGGTCCATCCAAATTGATGCCAGGGGATATTCTTTTTCCTGTGTGTACTTGACAACTTCAAGTAAATAATTCCCCATGGAAAAGTCATCAGTCAAGGAAGGGTCGGGCATTAGGGAGCAAAGTTCTACTGCCACATGTTGATCATATATCTCACATCCTATAATGGTTACCTTTTTAGTTTCTCCTATATGTGGTTTAGGAAACATAAGAAATCAACCCACCCATCATAGTTATCTATTATCACAAGAGATTGCCTTGCGTACAAGCACTCAGACCAGATACATTGAGTTGAAGTTCACCCCATCAAATACCATTAATTTTCAGAGTCTCTTCAATTATGAGTACCAATATTTGTTCAATTGAAGTAAAGTTAGTAAATGAAAACAAGAACATTAGAGCATCTCTAACAGATAAGTTAAAGGACACAATATTTAACCCAAAAATTTTAACTAAAGTACTAACACGTCTTTACTGATCGTAAAATCATGTGAGATTCATAAAATTGGGCTCTCACTCTTCTATACAATTAAATTGAATAGTAATAAAGGGAGGAGCGGGGAATTTGATACCCACATTTAACATATCTATAATATCCCTCCTCGCTTCTTATTTCAACTATCCATCCATAACTACATTCAACTCTTTATAATTTCTCTCTTATAACTTTTACTTATCTCTCACTATTTCTCTAATCTCATTATAAATTGAAAAGACGGATAAGCATGTGTGTAATCACTAGTTCATAGTGAATGATTATCCAATTAAGTATAACTAAAAGAAGAAGAGCAATGTTATTCCACCAAATGGATATGAGCGGTTGGATGATAGTGAGTGAGGCCCACCAATTTGACAGTTCACATCTATTTGGTTAAAAAAAAGAATTGGAGGAAATTTAAACCGCCAATAGACACTTACACTAATAAAGACATTTATGAGTGCATATAGTATAGGCTTCCCAAAAGAAAAGCCAACTTTTTCCTTATTGAATGACAAAGATGTGTATGTATAACAGGCCCACGTACGTAACAATTTGGGGCCCACAATTTTTGATGGGGTTGGGATTGGGCCCCAGTCCAAGGCCCTCTCTTGCGTTTGGTCCACTTATTACGTAACAAATTAGGTTTTAGTGGAGCCCACACAAGAATAAGGACATCAACACGTGTCCGTCCGAGTCTCAGTCAGATCGTCTAACAAGTCACAACTGTTGCCCTTGTAGTCGCTGATGTGGACCCATTGGCAGTGGCCCTAGTGGGGTCTGTGACTGTCACTGACTCAGTGACCTTTTCGTTAGTAGGGGCCCAATATTTTTAAAATTAAAATGTTCATAAATTTATAAAACTAATTCAACATAAAAACTCGACTAAATACAATATAAATTCATTAAATATTATTTATTCATAGTGTAAAGTGACGTAATATTAATTTATAATAATTTTTTCATGCATATATTTACAAATGCTCGGAATATATCTTAGCTTGTATTGAGAAAGTGTGACATTCAATAGTCAATAGTCGACGATCTTTTAAAAAACTATTTCTCTAGTTTCTATCCAACGAGATAAATTTATAGATAATGATCCTAAAAAACTATAATTCGTGAAATATTTGAACGCCTAAGTTATCATTCAAAAAATATTTATTAGATAACTACGCTACCCCTAACCCCTAGGAGTTGAACGAGAATAGTTGGATGGACTATTTTTCTTCAAATTAGATAGAGATGCCACATGTCATGACCTCGACTACTGAAACCCACCTTGAACATTAGGTTATTGTGTAGTTTTAAAGATTCGTGTTTTTTCTTAAAAGCATCTACCCCTTCATAAGAAGCTAAACCAAGATAAAATATTATCAATAATTAATCATTTTCTTAAAAGCTGAAAACAAATATTATTATTAAACTAAGTAAAAAGGTAAAAAACAAAAAAAAGCCGGGGATATCAAAGATAACTTTAAGCTTTGATTGTTATATAATTGGGATAGTATGTCGTTGGGTGAGAGAAATGATTCAATGGAATATACCCTTGGCTTGTGTACTTGTGATAAAATTAAGATGATAAATTATAATTACACTAATATGTAAGTTCATTCTCTCATTTCCGATCATACTCTACATTTCATAGACGATAAAATGGGTAATTTGGTCAAAATTAATCAAGATGAACATTTGACTTTTTTTTTTTTGTTGAAAAAAAAAGGGTGGAGGTAAGAAAGAGTGTCCAACGACTATCCAAATAGGCCTTCACCTGTGAGATCATAAGAACTTTGACCGAGCCTGAAATATCTCTCGGGACCAAACCTAATTTTGTGGACCTAACATAGGTTGAACCCATTTTTAAAGTGGAAAGCCAATGCCTAATGGTACTGACTAGTGAGATTATCCACAATTCTGTGGCAAGACTTGGACTTTGTCTTTCATGTACTAAATTGCCTTTGGCGTACCTCGGTTTGGTTTGGTTTGATTTGGCAGCACATAATTATATTGGTACACAACTATACACAATTGCAGAGTACTTGACACAATCATGTATTTGGTGTCAAATAAGAGATGCAAATCAGTGGTCCAAATGTTTGACCCATGCAAAGGTTTGATATCACTAACATAAAATGATCAAATTTTGATATTTGGCAATCACTACAATTAATTGTTTGAATGAAATTTGAAATGCATTTAAAAATTCAAACAAAATGATATTTTTAAAAATCAAAATTGAATTTAAAATTTAAAATTCGAAACTCTGTATTTAAATCACAGACACATCTAAGGCTCCAAACTCAGGACTCCAATCTTAGACTCGTAATTTCTTATATCCAAAAGTCTAGACTTATGTTCTAAAAACTCTGGATTCTAGACCCTAGAAACTAAACTCCAAGCATTGAAAATATGACCCATACTTCTTTTTTAGTTTAACGATTAGGGATGTCCAGAATAACTTAAGTGTATCTTAATTAATTTCTTCTCTAATCCGATCAAAGAATGATCATTCATCCTGAACTAATCTCTCATGGCCTCGCTCCTAACCTTCAATTTGTGCCCACGAGTATATTATGCATAACTTGTATAAATGGGAGGGCTCTGATATAATTTGTGTTATTAATCACTCAAGTATTATATGACTCTTGCCACGAGTGCCAACAAGTCAATGAAACCGTGAAGGCATTGCTGTCTAAGGCAATCATTAATGAATTTCATCATTTGATTGATGTCTAATTTTCACATTCCTTAAGAAGGCAAAATGATAATTTGAATTAAATAATATCAAATAATGAAGTATGCAAATTGAATGATCTTTACTCAGTAATGTTCATCTAATATTTGGTATGTAATAATGAAAATTCATTCATATTCTTATGGAATACATAATTCCATCAACATAAAATTTCTCACTCCTCAATTTTTGATAGTATTTTTTTATTCTTAACTACCATCACTTGTCGTTATCACCACCTCCACCACTATCATCCCACCTCCACCACTATCATCCCAAGGTCGGGCTTTGATCCAAGTCTAGACTAGGGAGGGTCTAAGCCGGAGTGTAAGGATTTTTCAAGATTCCATTATTACATTAATTTTATTTTCTTGAAAAAATATTATTGCATACTAAAGGCATAATACCGTTTTGCGTAAAAAAAAAAAAAAAATTATTGCATCACCATTTTTTCAATATATTTTAGCAATAGTAGTACTAATATTTTAAGTAAGTAGTCAAACATTTCAAGATAGCTTAGAGTAGTTAGCTAAGCCTGGGATTACTTTGAAAAAACCAGAGATAATTAAGGCAAGAGAAAATCTGAGTTGCCTCCTGCTTTATTGAAAACAACCTATAAGGGCAAATTTGAGCAAAATATTTACTACAATTCTTGTTGGTATCAATGTAATTGTTTTGGTAATTCAAATCCATATCGACTGTTCAAAGACAAAAAAAAAAACCCTATTTTAGAACTTCAGTGAATATGTTGAAAAATTCAACGTAAAACTGCAAATTCTTTTGGCTATTGCAATAGATATAATAATGAAAAATATATGTGTGTGTGTGTGTGTGTGTGTGGCTGCCGTGGGGTTTGTTAGGCTCTTCTATGAGCTGGATCTACACTCAATGGAGTGACCCACAAGAGGTCCAGAAATAGCTTCTTCAAGCGCACATCTATGTCTTCAATATAAACAATTTTCTTCCTCTTCTTCTCTCTCAAGGTCAAATTCTCCCTCTCAAACTTTGGGTCATCTGTCGTGTGGGGGGTTTTTTCTATTTAGTTTGAGATGGGTTTATGGTTCTTTGCATGTTAAAGCAAAGTGATGTAATTAAGATATTCTATTTCTGGGTCTGTGATATATGCGTATTTTACACATATCTATGTGTCCGTTTGAGGTTGACGATTGAATAAATGAATCTGGGTTGTGGTCAAGCGGTGGAATCGATGTCGATGCCGAGCTCAAGTGTTTCTTGCAAGTCTGGTGATGGAGTCTCCGACCAGTTTCCGGTCGGTCTCCGTGTGCTTCTAGTAGATGATGACCCCACTTGTCTCTTGATCTTAGAGAAGATGCTTCGGAACTGCCTCTATGAAGGTGAGTACTGAATTTTGTCAGGAATCGTCTGTTTTCAGGTTTTCTTGAATTTCTGTTCTTAATTTGAGTTTTGATCTGAAAATTCGAATCTTTATACTTACCCTTGAGTTTCTAGATAGATGGTACTGGTAAGTACCCATATAGGTTATTGTTTCTTTTGTGCCTCTGTTCCATTTCTAAGATTTGCTAATGGGATCAGTATTCAGTAGTCTGCGGTGGAAGAGAGAGAGAAAGAAAAACCTTTGAGATTTGGGTGTAATAGGACATCGTATGCACTTTGAGATAAGGTTTTGTTCAGATTGCTATAATTTTGCCCAGATTCCACAAGATGCTATGTTAACTTGTTCAGATTGCAATCTTGTGGTTGCAAATTCTGATACTTGCAAAGTTGTTTCAATTGATTTGTGGGTGAATTGGGTTTTTTATTTGTAATCAGGGAGAAAGGTATTGTTTTGACGTGTGCCTGTATGGATAGGTAGTTCAGATTTCCTTTTTCTAAGTGGATATGTTTAATTTACAGACTTTATAGTTGTAGTTATGTGATTGTTGGATAATTGATTCGATTCTTCTGGGGTTCTTTTCAGTTACCAAGTGCAATCGAGCAGAAATTGCATTGTCACTGCTACGAGAGAACAGAAATGGATTCGATATTGTTATAAGTGATGTCCACATGCCTGACATGGATGGGTTCAAACTACTCGAGTATGTTGGCCTTGAGATGGACCTTCCTGTTATCAGTAAGTACCCTGTTTCAGATTTTGTTGACCTTTTATTTAAAACCGAGACAGTTGTCATTTTCATTGGATATAGCCTCTCAGATCTGCCTTGTGTAATTACACAGTGATGTCGGCCGATGATGGTAAAAATGTTGTGATGAAGGGTATTACTCATGGGGCATGTGATTATCTGATCAAACCAGTTCGAATTGAGGCATTAAGGAACATATGGCAGCATGTGGTTCGGAAAAAAAGGCACGAATGGAAGGATGCTGAGCAAGTGGGAAGTGTGGAAGATGGAGAACGACAACAGAAACTGGCTGAAGATGCGGATTACTCGTCTTCTGCAAATGAAAGTAATTGGAGAAACTCCAAGAGAAGAAGGGATGAAGAAGAGGATGCTGAAGAAAGGGATGACACGTGTACAATGAAGAAGCCACGGGTGGTTTGGTCAGTTGAGCTCCATCAACAGTTTGTGGCAGCTGTTAATCAACTTGGAATTGATAGTATGGATCTTTATCAACTTTTCCTTATTGTTTTCCCCTTCCATTCTGCTTAATACTCCTGCTTTGATACTCCATTTTGTTTCCGTAAAGCAGAACATTATCTTACCCGTATTCCTAATAAATCAGATTTATGCTGTTTCAACATATAGTGGCTAACCTCTGTGTGTTTCATATAAGCTCTAGATGCTGTCTTATATCATTTGTTTTTTTTTTGGGCCTCATTGATGGGATAGGCAAACGACAAACGTTGTTGATGAGGGAAATAAGGGGAAGAGAAAAAGAGATGGCCCCTTAGGAGTATGAAAAAATAGAAGACCTTTTGGACAAGTGTCTGATTTTGACTAGAGAATTACCACAAACTTGCTTGGCCCCTGGCTACTTCCTTTAAACATTCTCAAAGGATATAAAGTATCAAAATTTAGACTGAATACATGGTCCTTCTCTATTATCTTTTATCCTCTCGGTAAGTACTATCTCTTTATGCATCTACATAGGATAATCTTGTTTTCTTAGTTTTTCTCAATTCCATCAGAGGGAAATTGATAATGAGGCAACATGAGGGTGTTACACATTTTGCATTGTGACCATCCTATATCTGTCATCTTGCTTAGTCACAAACAACTTGTAGTTAAGCTTGGATTAAGCATCAGTACCACTTGAATCAGATCCTATAGTTGGCCGCAAGATTATTCAACTACTAGTTGTATGTAGTAGGTATATTGTTTCTTTTCCCAGTAAAGTGAATCTCATGTTGGCTTATATGTGGACCTCTGAGTATGCAACAGGTTTAGGCTTACTGAACAAGGCAGCCTGACATTTTTTTCAGTATTCTATTATTCTTTGCCTCATATTCTCAACTTTGATGTATGTGTGCAGAAGCTGTACCTAAGAAAATTCTGGAGATGATGAGTGTCCCTGGGCTCACCAGAGAAAATGTTGCCAGCCACCTTCAGGTAGGGTGCTGTTTTTCTTTTTGAAGATTTCTTGGGGAAGAACGTTAATTAATAAATTGTTCAGCAATTTTTCCTTGTGAATAGTGGGTGCGCTTTAAGTGTTAAGTAAGAAAGCTTTTCTGCCTCACTCTCCTTTAGAAAACATTCACAATTGCAATTTTTGGTGCAGAAATATCGTCTATATCTTAGAAGGCTAAGTGGAGTATCACAACATCAAGGTGGACTCAATAACTCTTTCATGGGTCCGCCAGAAGCGACATTTGGGTCAATGTCTTCGTTCAATGGGCTTGATCTGCAAGCTCTTGCTGCCACCGGTCAACTCCCAGCACAAAGTCTCGCTACACTCCAAGCAGCAGCGTATGGAAGGTCTACCTCCAAATCTGCCATACCCATGCCCTTAGTGGATCAAAGAAACCTTTTTAGCTTTGAAACTCCCAAGTTAAGATGTGGGGAGGGACAACAGCAACAACCGAACAATAACAACAGTAAGCAACTGAATCTGCTTCATGGAATTCCAACAAATATGGAGCCAAAGCAGCTTGTCAGCTTGCACCAATCTGCTCAATCCTTTGGGGGCATGAATATGCAAGTCAATACCCATGGAAGCCAGAGTAACTCTTTACTATCAAGGACACAAATGCTGAATGAAACTAGTGACGGTCATGTTTCAAGGCTTCAGTCGTCCACAGGACAGCCTATTATGTCAACTGGGTGTGCAATTGGAGTTTTGGCACAAAACAACAATGCCAGAGGTCCATTATACATTCCAGTCTCCATAGCCTCTTCAACACCAGATTTCTCAGTGAACAATGACACAGACTTGTCAGGCAGTAGTTTTCCTCTTGGAAGTAATGCAGGGATGTCTACTTTCAGCTCTAAAGGAGTGCTCCAAGAGGAGTTTAATTCGGAAACAAAAGGATCAAGGGGAAGTCTTCTAAGTTATGATATCCTTAATGAACTGCATCAGCAAAAATCCCATGTTTGGGGTTCACAGAATGTAGGATTGACATATGATGCCTCCCAACATGCCAATATAAGAGGAAGCCTCGATGTCTCACCGTCTGTTCTAGTTCAACAAGGTTTTTCCTCTTTCCAGAATGTTGGGCAAAACAGGAATGCCGTTAGCAAGGCAGTCTTTTCGGCAAGGCAAGAAAGTGGGCATGGGAATGCCCCAAACTTTAGTCGACAACTTAACACGTTTCTTGTTGACAGTTCTCCTTCGGTTAAGGCTGAGAGACTTCCCGATTCGAGTTATCAAAATATTCTATTTCCTGAACAATTTAGTCAGGAGGACCTCATGAGTGTACTCCTCAAGCAGGTCAGTTTTTTTTTCCTGGATATCTATCTCTACTTCAATTTGCTATTTGAAGGTTGCATCTAGAATTTGAAAATGGTGTTTAATGACTGCTTTAACTAATTCAGTCTTTTCTCTAACCAGCAGCAAGAAGGCACTGGACTAGTTGAAAGTGAGTTTGGCTTTGATGGGCATCCCTTGGATAATCTTCCTGTGTAGAGCATCCTCCATGCTTTGGCTTTATCTATGATTCCACTTTCTGGGTTAGGCTCTCCTCTAATTTCCTAAGAATTGGAGAATCCTCCATTTCTCGTTTAAATGGTCAGAATTTGTACACATTAGCAGATTCAATTGATTTTAATCTCAATAATGCAAGATATTTTTTGATCTTCTGAATCAGTTGATATGTATATATCCAGACCAATCAAAAGAGAATCCTTATGGAGCTGACCCCCAGTTTCTAGTGTACAAAGCATCAACTACAGCTGAAGTTGAGGACCCTTCAGCATTTGAAGTGATTTTTGGAGACCCATGTGAGAATTAAGGCATTAAATCAACTCGGTCCAACAATGTAATTATGAGTAGCTTAATTAAAGTCTGTTTGATTGGTGAAAATTCTCTCTGTTTTCTGTTTTCAGTTGTTGGAAGCAAAAATTCACCAGAAAACACATTTGAAGTGGAAAAATATAAGAGACTTCTAGAAAATCTGAAAACTTGAGAGGCATCAAAGTAACTTTTTTTTCTGTGTAACTGACTTTGTATGAAAATTGAGCTCGTAAATCCATCGGTAAATGCCTTTCTTTCTCCATATATCTCCTCAACGAAAATGGAAATCGATTCTGTGTGATATTATTAGTAGCTCAACAAAGGTTGTGAAGAAAATCAGATTTAACAGGAAATGAGAAGAACAGAGTAAGAAGAAGAAGAAGAAGCAGCAGCTTGCTGGGGAAGAAATGATTCTCTCTGATTTCTTTCATCTCAGATGCAAGTACATTGTGATTACAGTATTGATAGACTGATCAGTGAAGCACATTTCAAACTAGGGGTGTCAATTTGTGTCCTGCTGTTGTGTGATTTGTATGTCGATATTTTTGTATCGTGATATTATTATTTGTGTCGTGCTTCTATTAAGACCCACGAAAAAAATTATTTATTATGTTTCAAGTGTAAAACATTAATCAATTTTTTTTATTATGTTTATTTATTAATAGTGTCAATTTTAAAATCCTATTGTCTTAGAGTCGTGTTGTCGGGTTAGTGTTGACGCCCCTAAATCACGGCAGGTTGTTACAGTCGGTCAAGTTTGGTCTAAACTATACTTTGATAAGGTCTTCCCAAGTTCGGCCGTGACTGCAATCCGTCTAAGTTGTAATTTTGTATTGAAATCAATCTGAATAAAAGCATATTCACTAAAAATGACGAAGTTTATCACGTTGGAGACAAATAAAATTTTAAACAACGAACGGAATTGAAAAAACCCATCTACGGAAATTGGCGAATAGTTGGAGTAAATTATATATAGGCCTCAAATTATAACTCTTGGGCCAATTAAGTCCCTTAACTATTTTTTTTTTTGTGTTAATTGAGGTACCGAACTCTGTAATTATGTCAATTGTGTTCTTTTATCTTTTTGTGTCATATAGTTAAATGAGTTACATATTCTAACAGAGGTACACATAAAGACTCTATTGACATAATTAGAGAATTTTGCTACATAATTGACAAAAAAAAATTAAGGATTTAATTGACACAAAGGTACTTTGAGGGTTATATGTATAATTTCTTCTATTTTTTTATTAATTAAAATAAAATGTCTTTTTTTTTATATATATTATTAGTTTATTTTGATTTACTATTTTTATAGTTCATAATTATAAACAAATTTAGTGGGGTACAGATTTTGTACCGTAGTTCTTTTTATGTATTATCTATGAATATAAAGTTTTGGTGGCCAAAACGACGTGGATAACGACGCCTTGAATCATTATCCTCTACAGACAAAGTCTCTTCAGATAAATCAACTGGCTCAAAAACCTCAATCATTGTAGTCTCTTCAGTGCTAACAAAAAGTTCAACAATATTTTCAACTAATGAGAAATATTACCTATATTGCCTAAAATAAAGGGGACATCAACATGGGGATAAGAGCAACAGCGACAAACATAAACCTGTAAAGGAGGAGAGATTGAGATATCATGTATAAAAAGAGGAAAGATTGGGATATTGTGTGTAACTGGCGTCTCTGTAGGGACAATGACTAATCGCTCCGGTGATAAGGAAAAATCAAAGGGAGTATCGTCAACTAGTGATGCAGACACAAGACTAGAAGCAGAAAAATAAGATAAATGCTTAAGAAATGTAACTTCTAGACTATGATACATACGGCGTTGAACTGGATCATAACACCGATAATCCTTAGACTGTTGCCAACAACCTACAAAGACACAATGAATAGTTGTATCATCAAGCTTATGAGAGTTGGAGACCGATCATGAACAAAACATGTACAACCAAAGACTTGAGGAAGGATTTAAAAAAGTGTCCGATTAGGAAATAAGACATGTAAGGGAGTCCTATGCTGAATAACACGGGCCGATGTGCGATTGCACAAGCTGGTAGAAGTTAGAACTACACAATGCCAATAAGACTTAAGCACCCCTGTAACTCACAACGTACGATCCTTATTAGACTCCAATTTTTTTTTTCAGCAACTCCATTTTAATCAGGAGTATATGAGTAGGTGAGCTGTTGAAGCATCTGGGAAGAAATGTGAGACATCAAGGCATCAAACACATTCTTTGGCATTATTCGAACGAAGAGCAATGACATTGAATTGTGTCTTAATCATCTGGAGAAACTGAGTGATAACAGGGAGTATATCTAATTTCCTATGTAAAAGGTATACATAAGTACACGGGGTATGGTCATTTATAAAGGTCACATAATATCGAGCACCTGACAGAGCAGTAACAGGTGAGGATCTCCAAATATCATAGTATATTAGGTCAAATGGCCTAGGAGACTAGTGTATGTGAGGATTATAACTAGTTTGAACATTTTTAGATAGTGAACATACAATACAATCAAGTCTACCACTAGCACAAGCATTACTCAAAGAAGGAAATAACATACATAAATATTTAAAATTTATATGCCCAAAATAGTTATACCACAACTGAACAGTTTGAAAAGAAAAATTACAACGACAAGTACTAGGTAAAATACTAGCTTGTAAGTTAAGAATAAATAAAGATAAAATAGGTGTAGGCAGTGGAGGAACTAGAGGTGGATCGCCTAGATAGTACAACTCATCTCTCTCATGTCCCTTGATAATAATCCTCCTGATACTCAAGTCCTGTAAATAACAAGAGTTAGATAAGCACACTACGACACAACAAAAATCTATGGTTAACTGATGTACAGATAATAGATTCATGACCAGCTTTTGAGCATGAAAAATAGAATGTAATGTAGGGATATTTGGAAGGCGAACTATACCCCTACTAATAATAGGGGAATGTGACCCATCAGCAAACTGAATATGTATGTAACTACTCATCGAAAGTATTGAAGTAATGAGTTGCACCTATCATGTGACCATTTGCACTCAAGTTTAGCATCTGAAAAGGAGAAGGACAGGTGCGAGCATGGAAGGTACAAAGTACACCAGTAGTAGTCGTAGTAGTAGTAGTAGGACTCTAAGAAGTCATAGTAGACATAAGCATATCCAATCCGGAAGTGATAACATCCATATCGCTCTACCAAGGAGGAGCAGCAGTAATAGGGACAACACCAGTAGGTGTTGGTCCCTCAATAATAGCGGTAGTACGACCTCGAGAAGTAACATAAAACGACTTAAGCTTGGGATGGAGCATCCAGAAAGCAACCCTAAGATGTCCTGTAGGCCACAATAATCACACTGGCGAGAATTGTAGTATTTGCGCTGCTCTGGAGCGTCTTGCTAGCGTTGGTCTAGATGTTGTCCATCCCTGGTAGGGGATCCTAAGTGAGATCTTGCAGCAACTAAAAGGGCCATTGGTCAGCCTTGGGAGTCAAGGTTGCAACGGGAAGTGATGCAATACGGACTCGACACTTATGTTGCTCAATTATAGAATAAACCTTATAAAGAGAAAGAACCTTCAACATCGACAGCATTTGGGAATGAGGTCCTTCAAACTCACCATGAAGCCTTATAAAGAACTTGTGAATTCTGTCTTCCTGCTATCGAGTACGTAGAAATGTCGCTCCGTCGGGTTTTATCCCTGTCAAGCATACGAGAGCTCCTAAGAAAGCTCATAAACATGAACTATACGACCTAACTGTGAATATATCTCTAATAATGCGCTTCATAGCTTCGGAACAGTGCTATGAAACTGATGAATCTTGCAAACAGATGACTCCATAAATCCAAATAACCATCTAACCACGTAGAATATCTAAGGTTGTCATCAACTGGCTTCGAGTGCGGTTCGGTCAGCAAACCAAGCTTCCCAATACACCCCAAAAAGTGTTGAAACTAGAGTGACCACTTAGGAAAGTAATGATCATCCAATATGTGACGCTGCTAAAAACCGGGGGTCATTTGTTAACCGTTGACCATCCGTCAACCCGCGGAAATATCCATGATTGTCGAACAACTGGGCGACACATCAATAACATTCCCTTAACCGGAATTATAACCCACACGTGAAACCTGTGTACATTTTATCATTTGATCCAACCGTGGTCCAAAGTACCACATTTCATACTTATTTTATGTCTATTTATATCCTTGGAATCAAAGAACCCATAGCCCAAAAGTTTCACAAAGCAATTTTCAAATTTTTGGAAAGTGTGCCGGTAGGCTGTACCGGTACAAAGATTGCCCACTGGAAAAAGTCATACCGGTATAGGTAACCCACTGGAAGAATCCATACTGGTACGGGTAACCCACTGGACCTTGTCGTACTGGTACGCCATACCGGTATGCTTTGCTGACTTTTGCCTATTTCACCTGTTTTTTATTTCCAATCCATTTCAACCTATTCCACTACCATCCAAAATATGCTTAATAAGGTTTTTCACATAAAATCTATTATATACAAGTTCTATTATAGATAATTTCATACGATTACATGCCCAAAATATAATTTTCACAAAAAATTTATAGAATGAGCTATCAAAGCCACAAATCGGCTCTCTTCATCTTTGAGGCTCGAAATGAGAGTCCTCCGCCGGTGTGAACCTCACAACTGAAATGTTTTCTCGTATAGGGTGATCTATGCTCAATAGAGTATCCTCTACAGATGCTACTCCTCCCCCTAGATGCACATGAAATGTGTACATGCAACAATCAACCCCTAATTTCCATTCCAAACAAGAATATGTCATTAAATGTTGAAATATTACTATGTTATGTCATGATATGAGATGATACTCACTCATGCACTTTAATCCGAGTCCTCACCGACTCTCGCAACACAATGTAATGCTAATGTGTAGCAAATCTATTATTGATGAATATCATCCAATGATCATTTTGAAATAAAGTTCATGCGTTTTTAAAACCAAATTTTGTTGGATGATACACATTGAATGACCATTTGTAAAACAAAATCATGTGTCTTTGTTGGGTATTAAATTTTGGAATCACACCGCTGGCTCCGTACGCTATTACACTTTTTTAAAATTTCACCACAGGGGAATGTATGAACCAAGTAGCTGGGTCTTGCACCCAAGGTGGAGTTTAGCCTTGCTTGCTATACCCGACACAAGTTTTTATTTCATGCAACCATGCGACTCAGTCAGATCTTCGATCCAACTTTCCCGAGCCCGCTCATCAATCACCAAGTATGATGATTGATACAACCATGGACACACACACCCATATTTCAACATATGTCATGACAATTTATATCAATTGCATATAATTACCATAATTTATCACAATTTTAATACACCAACTAACACATATTAACATTTATATCGAACACAAATCGCAAGCATGTTATACATAACTCATGTCATAATAACCTCAATTTTCACATAGGCATTTAGCAAAATACCTTCAAGGCACAATTCATGTTATCACACAATATTTCCCACATTATATCATGTTTTAAGAAATTACACAAGTACTTTTT